GTTCGTGAGCGCTTCGTCACGGAGAGCGGAGCGCTCTGCGTCGCTGGAACGCGTAGTCGTTGCAGCTCTTCCTCGCATCTTTTAAGTTTTGGCTGCCGCAAGGTGACATTTGTATTGCCGTGGACGACCGTTAAACCAAACAGTCGGTAAACTTTAAAACCTGTGAAAACCTCGCTTACTCGGTAAATTACAGCTTAAAGGGGTTTGTTGTGGTTTTTTCTTTTTTTTTTTTAACTAAATGGGATGTGTCATAGTATTTTTAGTTTGGAATAATTTAAAAATTGTACCTCGCTGAATTGCAGTATCCTACCACTTTCAAATAAAAAAAAATAAAAAAGTACGAATCACGGGAAGAAAACTTGCCCTGTGACAGTTCTTTCCCTGGAGCTGCTCCCTGAACCGGTGAGGAGCCCGGTTTCTTTCTTTTTTTCCTTCCACAGGCATCGGCAGAATCATCTTTCGTCTTCGGCTCGGTCCGGATTTTTTTTTTTTTTTTTTTTTTTTTTTGGTTTATATGCTAAACTTACCGTTTTTCCAGGGGGAAAAAAGCGCCCACAAACCCAACCAAAAATGATCATTGGGTTTCATACGCAGGAGTGCCTAATCTGAGGTGTTCCATCTTGTTAAGGGCTGTGGCAGAAATCCAGTTACATCATCAGGAGCACATTACGCAGTAACTGTAATTTAGCTGTGAGGTTTTTAGTCCTGTAAAGGTACCACTATCCATTCTCTGTCCTGGCAGTAAAACCAGAAATGTTTTATTAGAAACAAGCTTTAAGTATACAAGTCAGATAATAGGAAATACATCATATAAAGGAAGACATAAATGTAAAAAGCAATATGGCAGTGATGGGCAATAAAGAATAAACTTTATGCTGTCTTGATGTTTTGAACATAAAGTTAGAAAGTTTTTTAGGAGATGAAAATACTAAAATGCATTTAAAAATTAGACTTAGCTTTCAAAAGAGAAACATATCAAGGATGACTTTAGACCTGAACTAACCTAATTTAGTGATGCCAGCTATTGCTATAGTCACTTGTATAAATCTGTGGATGTGTTTTAACAGCATTTGCCATGTGTCTTGCTAGCTAATGGAAATTGAGGAAAGTTTACAGAAGAAAGGACTAAATGTAACTCTGATGTGGTTGGAAAAGGTGGATAGCTGAGGCACCTCCCTGTCTTGTGACCCAGAGGGCACATGGGCCACAAGTTGATGAATTTGCTCTATTTATCTGTACTGAGTAGTACTCTGCATATAATTTGGAATTGATATTTTATGTTTGAAGGACTAAGATAGGATTTGTGGGAACACTTTTCACTTAAAAAAAGTGGAAGTCTTCATTGCAGAATCCATGCCAAATATCAGATTTCTGTAACAGAGAGAAAAGAAATTATATAACTTTAATGACCAAAGATAGATTGCTCTCCAAAGCCATATATATAATTTAAAATGAGGTATAGTTAGTGATTGTACAGTGGTAGTATCTGAATATCTAGTTGGAGGAAGGGCAATAACTATGGCAAATGCAATACTGGTTGTAACTGTACCTTAGTAAAAATGAAATTTTGTACTCTTGATACTGCTGAAAAATTCCTGTTTTGTTACATAAGGACTACATCATACAGTATATGCAAAAAGGATTAAGATGAGCTTGCATAGGTAGGCATTTTTTTAATTAGTGAGCATATGACTTCATAATGTTAACATTCTTTAACTTAGTGGGTTCGGTTTTACATACCATGCTGGATACTTGATAACAAACCCAAATAATCAATAGCTTCAACTTGCTCTTTATTAATGTAGAGATAAATTCCTACCTCCAGAAAAAAATACACAAGCCTCTCTACATTCCTCTTCACTCTCAAAGCGGTTTGCGTTTCCATCGCAGCCACCATACCAAAACTGAGCACAAGCATTGGCTTGTTTATCATAATACCATTTTATGATATAAACACGGCATGGCCCTTGATCCAGCCTTAACTTGCACCGGAGGTCCAGGATACTTTCTAAAATAAAGAAAACAAGGGATAGAAACAATTAAGTTCATAGAAGTCAATTGCATTGCATAGATTTTAACTTTTAAACTCTGATTTTATTTTTTCTGCTAATGTTACACAGCTGTTCAAGATGCTCTTCTAAAGATACTAGCATTGAAGGCAAGTTAAAAGTGCATCTTAGTAGGTCAAGTAAACTGTTCCTTTACTGGCATGGTTCTAGTAAGTCCAGAAATAATGGTATTATGGCTCCATATACAAGAAGAGGAAACAATATGAATCTGATAATTTTGAAATTTACTTATCGGCAATCAGTCTTGTGAGCAACCCAAAATTGTAAGCCGAAGAGCTGTAAGCTGGTTGCACCTGCTGTTTTCTAACCACAAGCATGACCATCATCCTTCGGCAGTACATTGCTTCAGTACGTAAGTTCTCTTTGTGGTGGGGAGGAAGAGGCATTAGAATAGTGAGAAGAATATAAAACTTTAGTCTTTATTTTTTAAGATGTTTGTGCTACTTACCTAATATGCTGGCAGTAATTATGTACCAACGCTTGTTGGTCTAATGATTCCTACAGATACGCATTAGAAGACTGTGACAGACTAATCTAGTCTCACTCACTTTAATAATACCATGAGATAGAAAATACTTTTCCTTCAAGTTTAATGTTGTGGCATCAATTTTGTGTCTTTGGCAGCTGGTACCTTGACACTTTATAAAAAGAAACGTTATTGCCAGAGACAGAGTAATAGTCATGCCCATGTTCCCAGGAAGCATGGGAACATGTTTCTATTGCTCTCTTCTGTTGCTCCCATCATAATACAATATTACTGGAACTCAAAAGTGTGAATCCCCCAAATGATGAACAGAATACATCTGCACATTTCATATGAAAAGAATCAATCCTTTGAGGAATCAGCTAATTACTATACTTCCCTTCAAATGACTAAACATTGTTTTTTCCTATTTCTCCTCTGAAGGAGAAATCTACTTTTTCTATCCAGTTCTGAAATTATTATCTTCTCTGTCTTCAATGAAGCGTCCCAACTCCGTAGACTGCCCCTTGGGTGACGAAATGCCTGCTCACTGGCCCATCTCAGCTAGCACTACGTTCTCTTTTGATGCCATTTATGAGCTCTGTCTCAGGTTATAGCTGACCTTGCTTCTGCTGTAAGTGGAGCAGTGGGATTTGGAATTTGGGAAGACAAGAACTGGTGAACAGGCTGGACAAGAACTGCAACTAGATCTGTTATAAAATCCTGAAATGGATTCTCTTCCACGG